GTACAAGTTGATACTGGACCAGGTGTGTCCCACATTTGGTAGATTACGTAGAGGCTACAGTAAGTGCAGTCATGGGTTTTCCTCCCATCTCAAGTCCTGTTGTGTTTCGCCCTCTCCTTAATGTGCTGTATTATAGGCCTGACTTTAGAGTGCAGTTGCAGAGAGTGGTCAAGCTATAGGGTTCTGTTCAGGCGCTGTGGGTTGACAATCTCCACCCCACTTAAAGGCTCCGACCACCAACCTCTGTAAGGGTTTGGAATTGTTATTTCCTAAAGCTAAACCAATTACTGGGCCACAGAAGCTCTATTATAATGTGCACCAGTGACATAAGGTAAAGGGTAACATAGGTATTTTCCAATGTGGACCTTATTTTCCCATGTTCTGTGTCAAAGTGACTAATGGGGAAAACAGTAGTTCAGTATTGAGTGAGAGCCCTGCAGCAGTGAAACGGGCTACAACTTAATCCTTGTGGGTGATTGTTAAATTGTTGTTTTCGCCAATGACTGGCTCATTATGGAAAGGACCCTACAGAAATTTCTGGTACCTTTCCTTTGATCCAGTCTGTGAAATCTTATCTGTAGGCCCCGAGTCACAGCACCCACCAGGACCACCAGCAGTCTCCTGAGCTTTGCAGCCTTTGCAGCAGCTAGTTCACCCTCCTCTGCCTGTCACCCTCTACCACTCTCCAATTTTTTGTCTTTATCCGTATACACCGGCTCAAATAAATATGGGCGGACATTAAATTCAAATGCCTCGTCTAAATCAGCTAAATAGTCAGCTGTGACATTGAAAATATTTTACATAACACTAAGCTACACTTTCTGTACTCCAACACAACAAACTTTTTAAATGTTCATTTATTTTATCTAGTGAAGTACATCCAAAAAACTGACTTTATACAACATACTTTGGCTTTCATAGAGCATAAAGGCTATCGTATTCAAAATCAATTCAAAACTTAATAATATTATGGACTGATCATTTATCAGCTGTAATTTAATTATCTGGTAATTTAATTACCTGGATAATTGAATTACATTTAATAATAATATAAATTTCCCATTATGGGCCTAAAATGTATTTGCCCTGATAATTATTGTGCACCCCTACTTACTTATAATGGACATACTTTGACGGTGTGCAATCACCCATAAGGCTTACATTATAGCCTCTTTCGTGGCTGCAGGCTGCAGAGTTCTCCCTCAATACATTTACATCACTGACTGCAGAGTTTGACAGGTTGAGAGTCAAGCTGCTAGTTGAAATATTTCTAATATACAGTAAAGCTTAGATTTTTTTCTCTTGTTCATATACATCCATTATATACACAATCTAATATAAGAACTACATTCAGTCAAATACATAGGGGGCTTAAGAAAATATAGAATATTGCGTGTATTACAATTAGTTTTTTTTGGCATTGTATTGATTCTAAAAGACACTACTTTTGGGTTTAAACCCCCAACCACTAAAAAGTGGTGTTATAAAAGTAAACTTTTTTAGCCAGATTTTATGCTTATAGTGGTAGACAGTTTCCAAAAATTGTATATATCACAATATATTACACATAAAATCATTAAAAATCCATAAACATAAACAAAAACGTAATTAATTAACATAATTTAAAGGTCCAGTGTGTAAAATTTAGGAGGATCTAATGAAAAAAAAATTTTCATAGCTATGTTTTCATTAGTGTATATATTGTGTGTTACTTTAGTATAGGCTGTTTTCATCAGCCCAGAGGAGGCAGATCCTCTTCTACCATGTAAAAAGCATAAAAAGCCCCAAAAATATCTTTAAAAAATACAAAAACTCCATGTTTCTACGGACAGACCAAACACTGACTCTAGATAGGGGCGTTTGTATTTTTTGCGCTTTCCACAGCCAATATAGTTTCCCCCCCTCGTCCATGGAAGGGGATGCTGAAGCGAGGGAGTTCCAACCTCAGCGCTAGATGCCTCTAAATCCTACACACTGGTCTTTTAGGGCTACTAAAACTGTAATAACTAACTAATTGTGGTTGGACTCTGGGTCCTGTCTCTAGTATCGTTTAAAGTTACATTACTGTTTATGATGACTTTGTTGGGATTTGAAAAAAAAGGATCTTAAGACATTTCTTTTTAGCAAAGCTTTTGTCGGCTTTTAGGATGTTTTTATTTTTTATTTTTTTTAATTTTTTTATTTTTTTATTCTTTTTCTGGCTTTTTCTTATTTTTTTTTTAAAAGCTGCTTTTTGTTCTAACCTGTAGCCACTTTGAGATCCTGCTGATGAAAAGGGCATTATACAATAAAAAGTGTAGTTATATTTCATTATTATTATTTGCTCTTGTTCCCCAACAATATGTGAACATGCAGGACAAAAATAAGACTACTGTCAAAGCTGAAACAATCAGCACCTTTTCATGCACCAAAGCAAAATGTTTACCCAAGCTTATGTATATTTAATCTTTTCACTGGTCCACCCAGTAGCCATTGCTCATGAGGCTTATTCAGTAGTTAGACATAGATCATCTGAGGTATACTTGTTGCCTCTGTCTTATAATCGGATGATTGGAGGCGAATTACCACCCTCATCCCAACAGCCACTTGAGGTTTGCACACTGCAGCAAATTACTGCGCTGGGACTGAAGTTAGGCAGCCTGAGATACCTTGGCAGGAGGTGATGACAGAACAGTAGTTCAGCGGTTTGGGCCTGTGTTACCAAGATGCAGACATGACACTGTTCTGTTTCTCTGCTGGACTGGTGTCTGTGGTCAGGGTGAGTGTGACAGGGAGAATTACAATGTGCCAAAAGTAGAGACAAAACAACAATACTAATGTACTTGTCAGAAATACTGTGAGGTAATGGTTTGCCACGTACACCGATACTTCAAAAGTATCGCAATTCTCAC